AGCAAGAAAAGTGTGCGCAAAGTGGTGCAGGATTTTGTCCATCAACAACAGTATGACTAGTGACGAGTACTGTATGTGTGCATGAAGCGCGCACTTGAATCTCATTGACACCTTTTGACACCGCAAGAGTCCAAGGATCTATGAAACACGGTGCGCTGGCAAGCCCACTGGTCCAAGCGTCTTTCAAGAAGAACTCCGGAGCCTTCTCTTCGGCGCACGTCTCAGTCCAAAGGTGCTCTGACAGGCGCACGGGCAAACCCAGCTGCGCCAAATGCACATCCGCTTCCTGCGGAAAGCAAACGATATGGACCATAGGACAGGGGACGATTCGGGCGACGGGACGATTCGGTGCGCTGCACATCCGGTCCTAAAGCATCTGCTACACTAAGGACCCTGAAATAAGGTTCTGTTGATTTTAGTGCCCACTGTCTAGGAAATAAAGCACGTAGGACCATGCAAGGGCAAAGTTGCCATCGAGAAAGCCATAGCAGTTGACGGACACTACAGGCCTCTCTCAATTTGGCAATCTTGCGGCATACACACATGTACACAGACACACACTCTGACATTGGTTTTCAGTTAACTCAATTGCCACGATGGGAAGGAAGGTGAGAAACGGTATGGTGGAGAGTCCGCAATACTTGAAGATGTTTTAACAAAAGCTGTTTCGCAAGTCTGCAGAACTCAACGGCAAACCTCTGGGGCCTGGAGGTCTTGAAGAGGAAGCAAGGCCAAAAGCTCAATGCGTGACTGCAGAAAAGGTTTAAAAAATTGAAAGGCAGGTACGTCAGTGCTGGCCGGGCACTGATATCACATCCACTTGGTGCGGTCTTTGTTAGATGAGGCACACCAAGGGATCCTCATCCCCCTGCTTCTTTTTTGCGCGCTTTGTACATGTTAAAAATTGACAAGCTGTACGCTAATAGCGATACTAGGAGCCTTTAGTAGCGAAACCGGGGGCGCTCTCCTACCTGCAAACTAGTAGTGAGGCCAGAAGTCCCTAGTAGCGTCCTTGCTCCCCGTAGACCGGCCAGAGGCCCCTATAGTAGTACCGTCCGTGCTCCTAGTAGCGATCTGTTGGCAACAACTTTGTACACATAACGCCAATATTGGCGTTCCGGAAAACTACTAGTCACCTAAAAGGCCTTAGAAAGACAGACCAAGAAAACAAAACAAGAGCAGACTAAGAGGGCAAGAAGGAAAGATAGGCATAGTGACGAGGCCCACTTAGTTAAATGAAAGTAGTTCGCGAGCGGGACTTTTGTCTTAGACCGCTCGGGTAGCGAGCAATAGATAGGAGAAACAGAAGGAAAGGCACCAACACACAAGTGTGTTGAGTGCGATTTCCTTTTGTTTCCCAAATAGCAGGTGGGATAGCAACAGAGGCCTGGGGTAGGGGGGAAAAAAGACACTAGATATTACTGCAAGTTCGAAGTCGGAACATGTAGTGACTCATAACGACACATGACGGTGCAAGTGGATTCAGTCTGTCAAAAAGGAATTCCATCGTTTATAGCCCGGCGGCTCGAAACTCCGTTAATTTTATACAAGTGGAAAACGTGGAATCAGTTATGAAAGTGGAAAACAGTGAGTTCCGGCATGGCTTCGGCGCCACACTGAAGGGGTTCACACCCAGCACCCAAGTGGGAAGACTGAGCGGCTCACACTCTGACATTGGTTTTCAGTTAACTCAATTGCCACGATTTGAAGGAAGGTGAGAAACGGTATGGTGGAGAGTCCGCAATACTTGAAGATGTTTTAACAAAATAGCTGTTTCGCAAGTCTGCAGAACTCAACGGCAAACCTCTGGGGTCTGGAGGTCTTGAAGAGGAAGCAAGGCCAAAAGCTCAATGCGTGACTGCAGAAAAGGTTTAAAAAATTGAAAGGCTGGTACGTCAGTGCTGGCCGGGCACTGATATCACATCCACTTGGTGCGGTCTTTGGTAGATGAGGCACACCAAGGGATCCTCATCCCCCTGCTTCTTCTTTGCGCGCTTTGTACATGTTAAAAATTGACAAGCTGCACGCTCATAGCGATACTAGGAGCCTTTAGTAGCGAAACGGGGGCCCTTAGTAGCATCCTTTGTGACTCGAAACCTTAGGGACAGGTGTGGACACACACACAAACACTCACGCACGCACGCACGCACCCCATCCAGCGCGGCATACTGTCACATGTCCATCCATGAAAAACAAACGAACAAATGTGTCCACCAGGTGCCTACCATTTCTCCCAGAACCAAGCAAGCATTGGCACGAATTCCGAGACTTGCCCATTTCTGGTCCATGAAATCCATGTGGCACGTGCGATGCACAAACGCACACGCACCGTCTCCTGAAAGAGTCCCAGTTGGCAGCGCTGCAGTGCCAGGTAAAACCGCGCGAGGCGCCCGGCATCGCCGTCCGGAAGGCGCCTGCAGGAAGGCGCCAACGGATACCACGCCATGAGGCCGTGAACTGTTCGACACCCCGGGCCGCATGGGTTGCATTCATCAAGCTTTTCACGACCCAAGCAGTTTGCAAAGGGGCAAGCAAGCAAATCAGGCAAAAACCGCCGTTCCTTCTAGTTGCTGCACCAAACCTGAAAAATCTTCGATTTGCTTGCCTGGAACGCTCTGCCCGCGCGAGACACTGCCGCAGCAGCCGTTCCTCCTCCTCAAGTTGCCCTCGGGAACGGCACCGCACCGCCGCTTGCAGCAAAGCCGCGGGGCGCGCCCAACGACTCATAGGGCCGCGTGGGGTCCCAGCATGCTGGGAAGCAGGACCCGCTCGTGATTGCGTGTGTGTGTTTCATTCCCCGCATGTCATGAGACAAACCATTAACTGGGGGAGATTGTGGCGTCCTGATGGTAACTTCCACTTACGTCTTCCGAGTTCATAATTTGTTCCACCGCAGGAGGCCACGTGGCCCTCGGGAAAACAACCTTTACAGTATTCGCCCTGAAAGTCTGTAAACGCTACATCCAAGTCCTCCAGGTCTTAAACTAAACACCAATCAATACATACCTGGGTCATCCAATGGGTGTCCAATAGACTACCCTACACTGCTTGTGGACCTCCATTGGACACCCATTGGGTGATCCTGGTATACTGTAATTACATAAACGTATAATAACATACCCCTTGCAAATGGCGTGAAGCAAAGTAACTTTGTGGGTCTAGGACTTCAGGGGCCTGACATTTCCTGACTCGACTCGTTTCCATGTTTATGTCTGCATTTGCTTGGACACCTGACGCTGCTGCGGCCGCAGTGCCCTCCCAAGCTACCAAGTTGGATCCTTATAGAACTGGTGTTCTTGTCCAAAATAGGCAATGATGTAAATAAATGTGCGATACACAGACAGTCAGGCAGGGATCGTCATACATCTGCAGTTGACTGAGTCGACGGTCCCAAATCCATGTCGAACACTCCCATGAAAAGGCCGGAGTCTTTTTGCTGCAGTCTTTGCGAGTCCATTTCAACGAAGGTCCAGTCCACGGTGCTCTCTAGATATCCGTGCATTTGCACGAAACAACACGGGGAATCTCCAGTTGCGTCCCTTTTTTGTGAATGTTTTGGATGCCATATGCAGTTAATAGCACCAGATAGCACCAGAATAATCACAAAATGCTTCTAATTTAATCTAATTTACAATTAATTAAGGTTGTTGTTCTGTTCCTGTTGCTGTTGCCCACCGATCGCATCCAGTATCAACCAGCTGAAAGCCGATCGACAGGACCATGGTCCAGGATCGCGGACCATGGACCGCAACAATGAAAGCGCAGCAGGCAGCATGTCCGGGTCTCAGGTGGTGTGTTGGGTCTAACGAGCCTGCCTGTGTGATGCGCTACTTGCAGTAAGTAGCCACTCTCTAAGACTCGAAGAGATTTTCCCGACGATGTGCCAAGTGTCAGGATGCGCTGTCTACATCGCTCCCGACCCTGGCTATCTGGGCGCTTTTGCTTGTCGTTGTCTGTGCTCCTGCTCACGTTGTGCAACTCTGATGACTGTGGCCCCTTGTGCATTCCTCTGCATACATGTCCGACTTTCTTTGCCGGTTTTAACAGCGGGAGACACTTTAGTTTGGTGCTGAGGGCATGGCACAACTACCGGTCGAACGCGTCATCCGATTGGTCAAGAACGACGCTGCTGGTCCAGTAAGGCCAGGAGCCCCTAGTAGCGTCCTTGCTCCTAGTAGGAAGGCCAGGAGCCCCTAGTAGCGTCCTTGCTTCTAGTAGTAAGGCCAGAAGCCCCTAGTAGCGTCCTTGCTTCTAGTAGTAAGGCCAGGAGCCCCTAGTAGCGTCCTTGCTCCTAGTAGGAAGGCCAGGAGCCCCCAGTAGCATCCTTGCTCCTGCCAACGTCTCCCCCTACTGCAGTTTCTTGTGAATCACACTCGGTCCATGCCAGACGCCTTTTCTGATGCTTCACGGCGCCATCTCGCCCCAGTTGACAACCCTCTTCACCGCTCAGCGTTTTGGGTCGCCATAAGGGCACTGTGGGGCTTCAGGAAGACGGGGACCGCCACACCTGCGACGGAGGAGACGAGTCCACACCGCCAACCTGCATCTTGTTATTGGAGTATTGGAGTGCCATATTGGCTCTAAGAAACAATCTCAAACTGCAAAACGTTGATCAATGATGCAATGATAATCATCAACCGGTATGTAGTACGGATACTAAAATGCAACTGTCAGGGGATAATAGTTGCAGGGGCCATCAATTGAAACGTCAGAACGGCAAAAGCTGTCAGCATCGAAGATCCTTCTGCAGGTCCACGTTGGTGGCAAGTGCAAGGGGTTGCAACAGCATATTGGTATGTACATCTCTACATGAACAGCATGCCCTGGTTGTCCACGCGTTTGCTCCGATGGTGCCTCGACTGGAAGACTCGCTGGGCCCAGGACATGCGTCGGTCACACACGCGCTTGTTGCTGCGGGTGTGCCAGTAGTTGGTACCTCCCCATGCCGCCGGAGAGGTCATCCCAGCTGTTGCGGGGATAGTGGATGCACTGGAAAAGCGGAGGATAAAAGGAAGATTCCCATTCTTGTCGCCAGCGCATGGGATGGTTTCAAGGTTTTCTCCATCGACTTTTTGCAGGTTTATTGGATGGAAAGTGTCCTGACACCGGAAACATTGGGCCACAACAACATCTTGGAACAGTGTGGGGGTATGGCACTGGAATGTGTGAATGCATTGAACTTCCAGAAAATATTAGTCTAAAACATACAGAAACGAACTGACCCAACGTGACGCAGGTGCTCAATCCTTGGCAACCCGAAATCACCCCCCAAATCCCTCAGTGGTCTTCCCAAGCCCACTAGAGCGGAGCTGCTGAAAGCTGCTGAAATGATCCTTTTGCTTCGTGTCTCCGTAGCTGGTGTGATTCTGCAACGTCAAGCCCTTCCTCCGGTACCCTCTAGCGAGACTCGCCAAAGAGCCCGGCGTCAGCACTCCAGGACAAAGACACGCAAGAAAAAGGAATGCCGTTCTTGGAGGGGTTAATGGCACTGAGCTCCTCCAACACCTGCTTGTTCTCCAAATCCCACGACGGAGCTCATCGAATTCTCAGTGGTTGCGGGAGCGCATGCGTTGTTCCCACAGGGCTCCTGCAGTCAGGTCGACGCAAGGCACTGACTCAGTCTCCGGTGCAAACCGTGTTTTGAGGGGGGAGCTGGTCCTCAACACATGGAAGGCCTGGTCCCGGATGTGTCCGGTCCTGTCCGCTCAACAAAGGCAACTCAAAGGCAACTCAACAAAGGGCTTTCCTACTGTCCATTACCAAGCCGATGCATACATCAATGTGATATGCTTGAATGCGCGTACTTCTTGCCAATGTTCATGATCTAAAGACTTATATAGGGACATATTCCATCTCTTCCAGTTCCAGTGAATGTTAAGTTGCTTCTGTTATCCATTTCCAGCATGCAAAGCCCCCTGATCGGAATGATCGGAGGCGTTTCTTTCAAGCTTAAAAACAGCTACGTGAGAAGTGGGAAACGCAAGGGCCCAAGAAACGCCTCCACGTGCCGCTGAATTTGTTGATCGAAGATCTGAACGGAATGAGTCGAGCGAAATACGTCCATCCAACGAGTAGTAGAGGTTCTTGCCCGTCCATAGCATCCCCAAGCACCGTGCCATCCATTCCATCCACCCGATGCGCACAGCGAGCCGTCGACACCGTGGTGGTGTAGACCACCCCGACATGCCCACCAACTTGGTGCGAAGCTTGCAATTGTTCAGTTCCAGACATTTCCAGACCTTCACCAACCTTGGCTACATCTGATGGTGTCCAACTTGGACTGATGATCCCCAACAAATAAGCACACATTCCCGGGGGGGGGCCATACTAGCCAACGTGCGGAAAGACTCTTGAAGGCTGCTCGTGTTTTTCAAGGTTTCTGGTGGTGCAAGAGTTCTTTCATCGACTGGAGGATCTGGAGGTGCGATACAATAGCTAGAATCTCGGTGACGGCCTTGTTTGGAGTATACAGTAGTATGGACCAGTATGATCCAATATGGATAATCTAATCATGCTTGTAGACCTCCCACAGTGATTCTAAATTTACAACATGTCCATGGAAGTCCGACCGAAAATGGTCATTTGCTCCTCGCTGTAACCGTCGTCTAGAGTTCCAGGATTGCGAGCGCCGGTGGCCAATTCGACCCAGGCGACACAGCTGGTGACCGACGGGTGATGCAAAATGCCAAGGGATCCCGAAGCCATCCGAAGCCTAAGCCAAGCAGCTTATACCCACCTGACACGATCAAAGGCATCATCGCTGAAGGGGGGAAGTCCACTGAGCTCACCCAATTAGTGTGCATGTCATCCGCGACGACGGTGTATTTGCCTTGGATTTGCTTGATTCAGGAGGGAAACATCTTCCAAAAGGAAATTCTCCCACGGGGACACGAAACAGTGGTCCAGCAAAATCAGGCTGCACTCGGCCAAGGTATTCCACAACTTGATGGTTTTGGCCCGGCTGCCAGAAGGCACCGCTGTTCACATCCTTGCTGATGTGACCTTTGAAAGTTCGAATAGTAGAGCCGGTGTTCAGGTCCCAAAGACGCATGGACTTGTCCCAGGATCCGACCAAGGCCATCCCAAGACAGCACAGCACTCTTGCCACGCACTCACCGTGACCATGAAGACTACGGCAAGCATACCCGGGGTTCTCACCCTCAGGGGTCAGCTCCCAAATCACTCATGTCTTGTCCAATTTGCTCAGAACGACCGGGAGCAAGACCGCTCTCGGGTGTCGGGATCCGCTCGCGAGGCACATGGGACGTTGCTCTGGGTCACCACGTGCATGTGATGGCAGTGACCCAGTTGCGGTGTCCCGTAAGGATGCCAAGCTACTGCAAGGAATCAGAAGACATTGGACAACAAATCCAACCAATGGCGGGAGCATCTCACCTTTGATCTGACAGAGCTGTTTCAGCCTAAATGGCCACAGTTGTTGAGTTGGTTCCCACGAATCCAAAAAATCAGCTCCTCCCAGAACCCCAGTACCGCCAAGATTCCAATAGTTTGAAGATGCTCCAAGCATGGAATAAGTAAAGTAATATCGGGGCTATAGACGGATGACGGATGATCTGGCAGGATAGTGTGGAACAGCTCGAATAAATCTGAATAAATCAGCTGCTTCAATTTTACCATATTGCACCAAAACTTCCAGCTTTGTGTGGGATTTAGATGGATTTAGACCCTTCCAGTGGGTGGATCACCCAAGCTGAGCCCCTGCAAAAACCGTTCCACGGAACTCCCAGCGAGTCCCGACCTTGACCACGATCTGTGGCAGTGTTGTACTCCTCGAAACCCTTCTTACCTCATTCGATCTCACTCAGAGAAGACGCAAGGACATAAACCAAAAGTGAAGTTCCACCTGCCAATGCCTCTCCTTCCAGCAAATCTGGGTATGGTACAAACATGTATACAAACTCTAGACTCTAGACCCAGATTTGTTTCCCTCAATCCCCCATGTTTTGCTTTGACATTCCTTGACCCTTTGGACGCCGTGAGTGCATCTGCGTGCATGCGCTCTGTGTGCATCTCAGCGCGGCCCTTAGCCCAGCTGCAACGGTCTTCGAAGTGATAGTTGTGTGTCAGCTGGTCCAGGGTGATCTCACCTGCAAACTCCTTCCTGGCGAATGGCCGCGTGGCCAGCCACGCATGGCCGTGGAACACAAGAGTCCGGCTGTCACCATCCCCAGCTGAAACTGACCGTGAATGTGCAATCCAAGTGTTCGCTCGGTCTAAAAATTCCAAGATCATCCAAGCCTCAGGGCCTTGGGGTTTGAGTTGGTGCAAGTCTTGGCTTTCACTTCTTCAACTGCCAGGATGCACAAGGGGCAACAAGCAGCTCTCAAACTCTGCATCAGTCGTCAGTCATCGTATCTCCACGGGACTGAAGAGCCCGTCTTCGACATGCCCAACGGTTTTCCCACATCCTCCCGTTCCGGGTCCCGGAACAGGGCACCGTCCTCCAGGTGCAAGTCTTGGACCAGGCTTGGCCCGGCTTGCATTCGCCTCCAGCCTCTGAACAGCCTTGCCTGCCAGGCGTCGATGGCAGCTGGGTTCGTTTTTCCCGGGCCCAACTGGTGTTGGCCCAATGTTGTCTGGCTTGTTTCATCAGCATGAACGAAACACGTCGGGAGTGTTGATTCAGTGGTAAGCGAAAAGAGCCGAGCGGATCCAACCAGGTTGATAGTTCTGCTTGCCATTTCACACTTGGACCCCCCGATGAGGGAAGCTAATTATCCCAATTGCAGTCCTCGACAGGTGTGGCTCTCCAAGTCAAGCGACATCAGTTTGGACGGCGTGTTTGGGGTAAGCCCATGATCACCGACAACAGAGCCTCATTCCCTGGAAAAACCGTGGAACATCCACACACTCTCCGAGAAGGATGTTGTGGAGACATGTTGGAACCTATCACCCAGATAGACTTCCAGCTCCAAGTTGGTTGATTGTTGCAGTCCAACACTACTGTATCTTCTGAAACGATCAAAGTTCAAAGGAAGAACAAGTCTCAGCTCTCCAAAACCGCACGCCGAGAGGCTTTTGTTGAAAGCTCTTGGATGGACAAGCTCCAGGAAAGCTGTACCACGTGGCTTGGGAGTAGGCCGCATGTTGAAAACTGGGCCTATCGCAACCTGAAGCACGGCTTGAAAGGCGGTGCCGCATGGCGGAGCACCAATAATGAGTCACGTCATTATTGTTTCACACCTGCCCGACCTCTCGATTTCACTCCAAGGATTGGCAGGTTGTTTGGTGGGGGGGCTGGCCAGGGGAATGAACACTGTCAGAATAAGGGTTTTGAGTCTAGGGCTTTAAACCTTTTGAATGCATAACGAATCTTTGCCCAGGCCCATCTGCGAAATATCTGGATCAATCATGTAGAAGCCGTTCTTTCCCTGCACATGGCAACTACCCGCGCGGCTCATTGAACAACTCATGCCAAGTGGCCCACCACAAAGCCATACTTCTGGTAATCATCCTTGGAGGCTCGACGGCTTGGACGATTCATCCAATGTCGCTTCACCAAGCGGAGCGCCCTTCACTGAAGCTCCGACATGTTTTTGGCCAAGCGGAGCGCCATTCGACACCGAGCTCTCAATATCAGCTGTCTGACCCTTGGCACCCCGATATCAACTCTTCAGACTTCCGGGGTGACCAACGAGAGGCCTCTGCGACCGAAAGATTTGACCATAACGCCAAGCATCCAAGACCGGCTTGGGGCCAGTACAGGCACCACTGTCAAAATGGCACAACGGAGCAAAGACCTGCGAGGCACGAGTGAAATCGAAGCACTGATCCAACTGGATAGATAAGAAGAAGCCCCACCATCTTCATCTTCAGACTTCAGAGTCTTTAAGAACACCAACCTCAAAGATCATGAGCCTTTTCGCCATCAGGTCAGATGAAAGTGGGAAGTCCCTCACACCCAATGAGCCAAAGGCGCCCTGTGGCCTGTGAACCTGTGAACCCCGCCAGCCTTCTTGGTGTGTTCCAACTCAGGCGTTGGCATCATGGTGATCTTGTATCCTCAGCGGCGGGCTTTCACTGATCAACTAAACATTAACCCCACAGGGCCCGAAGGATGTTTATCTCGAACGTGTGTGTGTGTGTGCAAACATATAATTATATTATATAATATATACTGATATCCACTGTCACTTCGTACCCAATTTTGGAGATCCAAAGTCACCAGCAACAGATATTGAACAGTTGGGTGCCTTAAACACCAACACCCACAGTACGTATCATGTCACCCGTCTCTGTACTGGACAACATGACGGAATTTACCCAACACCTGCGTTTGTCAAGTGTGACCAGATTCATGGTACGTTCGAAACACTGCCAGAATGTCTCAGAATCAAGGACTCACCGGGTGGCATGGTGGGTGGTTCAACATGGGAGATAGGCAAACCATGGCAAACCCGAATCCAGCCAATCTTCGCGGTTGTGTGCCATGTAGATCACCCACAAATCCGAAGCTCGCACCCATCTCGCTCGCACCCAGTGGCCCGTGCTGCACGACACCCAAAAAAGACGCCGCCCAAAATCGGCTTGCGGCATAGACTGCCATCGGCATACACTACCCAGAAATCATCATGGAAGTGGAACATGAGCCTCCGGGAAGAGCCTTTTCCTCTATGAGCCTCCGGCCCCATGGCTTCCGGTTTGGGGGAAGGGATGGGGAGGGTAGAGGTGCACGCCTTCGCCCAGGCACTCAGGATCCGCGTGACGCCGAACTTGCGAGGGCAATGGCCCACCACCTCGCTGTGGAGGTACCAAAGGACCTCCAGCGCGGCTGGGCTCAAAGCGCTGCAGTGCGACCGGTGCGTGGGCCGTCCGGAGAAGCCGGGTTCGCCCTTGATCAGTGGAGATTGGTCCAAATCTGAAAAGCGACTTGAGTTCTTGACCCCCTGATTGACTCCTGCTACATGTCCCCCTCTTGGGGAACGCCAAGGAGCTCCGGCCAAGTTTGCCATGTTCACGTTTGTGTCTCCGTAGTTCTGGTCATTCTTCGCACGGTAGACCTGGTGATGATGTGGAGACAAAAAGCAATGATGGCAATGACAGGCCAAGTGTACTAATGCTGTGAGCGCGCTATACAACTCCTAGTCCCAAGTTACTACTGATCGCACAGCTTGAACTTTTGGTCTTGACATCCTTTCTGTGCTTCCAACGAAGAGTCCCAATCTGGGTTGGACAGGACCACTACTATCCTAAGCTGAACATGAACCTAAAGGAAAACAGGGGAGCACCTCTGCGGGTGGAAGGAAAGCCATCCTTCCTCCTCCGCTGCTTGCTGAACAACCCGTTTTGTCCAGCACCTATCCTAAGTCTTTGCACTAAATCATTGTATAACTCCTCAGTTCCGAGTGTCCGCTTCAGGTGGTCCATGATACCCATCTCGCTCCCTTTGAAAACCGCTCCCGTCTTCCCGAGGCACATAGAAGGTGTAGGGCCCAGCCGTGGCATTGCTGTCCTCCATGGTGGCCTCTGTGTCGTCCTCGCGTTCCCAGTCGTCGAGCTCCAAGGTGGACATTGGATCTCCCCCTGCATCAACTCACGTCGATCGACGCCATCGACCGGTTGCCACAGCGGTTGCACCAAACAATGGTTGTGTGGAGGAACGTCACATAGATGCTACAACGCCCAAAAAGCCTAAACCACGCAGAAGGAGCAGGGTGGATGGAGGGTGGATGGCTGCCCTATAGGCCCGCTCAGGGCCCTATCGAGAGGAGAGTGTTTTACATCTGTTGGATAGTCCTAAAATACACACACATCTGGGAGAGTTCTTGTTTGTTTGACACTACAGATCGGAGCGAATGCACTACTCACGTGTGAATCTCTCTCTCTATATGTATATATATATTACACATATATAACTTATATGATTATATAATATATACAGTGTATGTATACCCCTATGAGCCCGGCAGAATGAACATGTCAACTCATGCCACACTCCATCCAAATCCACCACATCCAATCCAAGGCAAGGGACGCAGCTGGCGTAAGGACAAGCTGCAGGTCTCATTTTCGGCACACTCATCCTCCAGGCCCAGGTCGTGCACATCGCCGTGCGCCAGGCTCCATAGTGCGGCGAGACCCAACGCCAAGAGACGCGACATCTTCGAGGTGTTCTGCCTCACCGGGTCAGCCCCACCAATGGGCCGAACGGATTTGGCCAAGCGTTGGACTTCAGCGCGCGCCCAACGGGCGGAGTCCCATTGTTTTGACACTCTACCTGATCAAATGTCATTGATTCGTTGTGAACATCGCCGGGGCCAATGACAAAAGGGGGCTAAACGCAACTGATATCAACTAATTAGTGTCCAACATTGGTGCTCCAACAACCCTCCAACCGTTTGGGTTTCAGACAGGCACATGTTGATTGCGATGGCGAACTGGGAGGCTTCCCTAAACGAACAACATACACATACGCACCCACATGCCGCATCGTGTATAACGACATGGGAAGCACCTTGTAAAGTCGCGCAGCGGCTGGCGGGAAAAAAAGGCTGGGTCGCACCAGGCAGCAATCCTCCAGAAGGAAGGAAGGCTAGGTCGCGTCAGCTGCTATTGAGCCCAACGCTGAAGAGCACAATCAAATGGTTCACTGTCTCTGGAGTTCATAAAAAGAACGATCAGACGATCATCCAGGAGATAAGCAATCACTCTAATGTGGTTAGTGGTTACATTGGTGTACATAAATGCCTTGCTTGTGTCTTAGCCCTCATTATTTCACATTGAAACTAGCACCACTCAGATTCTCTCAGGAATGAAATCAATGCACAGTCTCGCCACCAGGCACGAAGGCGGGGTAATATCCTCAATTTGGGAGAAAGCCGAACCAACCACTACCACCCTATAGCTGAAATAACATCGTTTAAGTCCCCAGGGCTAGTCTCTGGCCCGCATATGATGTTCAGATTGCTTTCCTTTTTGCAGAGTCAACCGTCTGAAGTGTGCAATTGTTCAATCAAATCCCAATTATGAGATGCTCTTTCAATCTGTCTCCATGACAGTCAGGCCAAAATCCTGTGGATGTGTCTCACATGTTTGGTGTTACTGGTGCAAGGGGAATTGGACACACATCCTGGAACGTTCAGCACGGTGAGTGAACAAGGGAGTGAACCATAGCCCTTCCAAAAGCATCCCCCCAACCCAAAATCCTCGAACACTGTATGAACCCTTCGGTGGTGAAAAGCATTTCAGCCAACCTGCTTGCCTGGCCCCACACCAGCTGCTGGCAGGCTTCAACTGCGCTGGCCGTCGCTGGCAGCGGGGTAGGCTCGACCACCTTCAGAAACAATAGCCTGGACCAGCAGTCCTCTGCATGGGACCATGCAGTCTTCTGCAAGGGGTTAATAATTGCACTTTGGGAAGAGGCCCAAACACACACATAGTATAACAATATAATATATATATATATATAATGTATCCAAACGGGTGTTGTTAAGGCAGTAGCAACAATGCCTCATGTCATGTGTACATATACATGGCCATACAGTACCTATAAACATTCTATAGAAAAGGGCGCGTACTGCAGGAATGTGAAAAAATGTGAAAACATGTGAAAATCCATGATTCTTGGAAGGGTGACCCGAAGAACTGGTCCACCATCTGCAAGGTCTTACGTGAAAGAGGCGCTGGAAAAAGGCAAAGGGTTTGTCGTTCTCCTTCTGTGAATTGCCTGCTGTGTTCCATGCCTCGGGAGCAAGAGTTGTCGCAGACTCTGAAGTTCTGACGTTTCGGGAACTTTGCAACCTTATTCGGAAAACCATGTTGATCTTGTCGAAGGATCCTTCAGCTGCTGCGTTTCCGGGCGCTTTTAATAGACGCGTCCTCCCACAAGGATGCATTGATCATGCCTTTCCTTCGGTTGCACCCGAAGGGTACCAACTTGTGGCTAATTTGCTTGCGGCCGAACGTTGGAGTCTTGGGAGGTTCGGTCTGCGACTTTTGAGTCCATCTCTGTCGGTTTGTAGTTATGCTTCGGCCTGTGTCCCGTGCATATGCTAGACGCGTTTCACGCGAGATCTGGCGCGAGAGGTAGTAAGGAATGTGAAAACAACCTCCAGCCCGGAGCAGTTTTGAATCCAACTGATAAGGCATGGCATAGAACAAACTAAACATCATGTGAGACGACGTTTGGAGCACGTGGGATTGCTGCGCTGTGCTGAGGCCCCCCCGAAATACAAAGATTCGTTCCTCTATCCGGCTGTGACGCAGTTTCAGAGTAGATGTCAAAAGTCTTCGGTCTACGTCAGGTTGGATGTGGTGTACAAACCACCAATCGGATTCATACCATTCATGGACAGCATATTATTATACATTATTGCATATCAAGGATTACTTTGGCACTTGGATTTGTAGGAACATCCGCACTTCTCACTGCACCTGTTAATTAATGCTGTGGAGCTACTAGAGCGATTGGGCTACACCCAAAGCAACAAAACGACTGCCGGCCATCAGCCCTGATGCATGATTCAAGGTTAATGTTTCAACCCACAAACGTGACGGAACCTAACCGAGACTATACTTCCATCTAGGAGGGGAAAATATGACTTGTCAAAGTGATGATCTGTGGGTGCACCTGCCACCTGCTGGTCAAAACGCCTTGCGACCGAGTGGCAGCTCTTCCGCGTCATCGCAAACGCATCGAACATCCGCCACTTTGGCACCACTGAAGCCCATGAGCTGCTCATTTTGGAAGGTGATCGACCTGGAGATGGAACTAGCGGAATCCGCCATACTTGGGTATGAAAAGGTGACGCTGGAGGCAAGGTCTGAAACCAAAGGGCCCACTCTTAGGCCCTAGGCAAAAAGCTGTTCGCCACATTGGCCTCACACCTGTTCGCCGGAAAATCATTCAAACAGCTTTCGAAGCTCTTTGACCAACTCCTGACCGGTTTGAATCCACCTTCTTTCAGCGCCACATTTGGCCAACAAATCTTGGCATCGTTTAGTGGTACATGTGCGCATGTCAAAACCATCTCCAAGAATGGGGTGCGAACGGCGAAGGAAGGGAGGAGGACCTTCACCGCATGTCACCGGGAGGTTCCTCTGCCCCGCCTGCAGTTGGGCACTGAGCTGCGGACCAAGCGCTCGACATCCATGCCCTGTCGCGCTCTGTCGCGCGACGAGCGGCCGAAGAGATGAGGAGTGGATGTCGAGCGAAGAAACACCAGTGGGTGTGGGTTCTCCGTGGGCCAATGACTCTCACGGGTCGACTATGGATGGCAATTGGTTGGTAGCAATGATTTCCGATGATACGAGTCGAGAATCCCTCTTCTATTATATTCCGCAAACACTCCATGGGACTGCCACATATGCCGCCCCATTGACCCCCCTGGCACTTCCCCAACTGATCGGCGCTGCTGGAGTGTCTGGGTTCTATGATTTTCGGGGTCCTGGTGGCTGGCTCATTCCGCAGGAGAGTGGCTGGCCAGCCACATGTGGCTGGCTGGTTGGCTGCGGGTACTTTACTGGCTTGCTAAAATTCACCAAGTACCTGAAATGCAGGTCCCTAGCAGAATGCCACATATCCATTATCCACCACCCAAGAACTTACAAGCTAAAACATATCAATATTATATATATATATATGAATATAGTGTGTTCACTGTATTCACCTCGAACTTCACATGTATTTGGAACTTCTGCGAACTTACTTTATATGCCTTGTAGGATTCTTGGGAACACGCAGTCAAAAGTCAAAACACATTACTCAAAAACAGCAGCGAGACTTTCCACAACAAACGGCTTTCATGGACTGTCAAACCAAAACGTAGACCCGGAACACAATTGAAAACAGGCTGTTCATCGATTGGGGACTCCCTGTTTCTCAAAACATCAGGCCTTGGCTGCAAAGCTGATGCCTGCGACATGCCGGATCGAACGGAGCGCTCCGGAAGCGGCTCCCGACCATGCGCCGTCGCTCCCTGAGGGGTCACTAGCACCCCCTCCAAATGTCGGACGGACTGAAGCTGCTGCTCAATACTAGCTTCTTGTTACTGCTAGTAAGGCACCTGTTACTACTAGCGTGGCACTTGTTACTACTAGCTTCTTGTTACTAAAGAAAGACAAAAGCTCAAGAAAGCAGGAACTTTCTGTGTGGACACTTGGCGTCCGTCCGCAAAGATGCAACTTGGGGTACAAATCGACCAAACACTGTTTACCCGCAAGAAGTATGAATTTTCACAACCCCTCCCGAGTTCAAAAAAAGTAAAATATATTTTCTTGAGAGTGTGACGGAGTGTTAACCACTTGCTTTTTGGACTAGGAGGATTTTTGCAGCTGGTTCCTTCAATCAGACATTCTGAGGCCATTTTCCTTCATGACATTGTTTGCTCAGGTGACGCGGGGCACAAGCAAATAACACACATATGCAGATGTGAAAAAGTGTCAGAAAAGGAACTAATTTGGGAATTGGTGAAACGTTTGCCGAATTGACTTTTGTTGAAAAAAAGTCACTCAATCCAATCTCCTGTTCGTCCATCTGTCCTGACAATTATTGCCTGGAGCGCGCTGTGTGCTCTTTTTTTTTGCAACCAAACCAAACCACGCTGCTTTGCGGCATCCCTGCTAGAAATACGCAGGGAGAAGAGTTGACGGCAATGGTCACAGGAACTTGCACGTGGAACGCATTATTTTTTGTTTGTCAAGAAACCTAAGCAAACGTAACTGTTTAAAACACATATTATATAATAGCAGAAAGATATAGACAGATTGAGCAACACTCCGAAGAATGCACCGATTTTTACTATTTTTGCTGAGAGCAAAGCTCCACATAAAAACATACAGCAGAACTTAAGATATTAAGAATTTGCCCGCCGCAGGCGCATACTTTTTTAAATCAGGATTTGCCCGCCGCAGGCGCAGATTTTTTTGAGCACCAAAGGCCTAATTATTCCTATATGCTTCTTATAATTTGATTGTTTGCGTGTTCCTAAATTGGGTGCCCAAAAATACAAATGTGTGCCTGCGGCGAGCAAATTCTTAAGTTCATAATTGGTTAAACTTGTTCTTTTTATGTTTTGCTCCCGGAAAACAGTGTAAGAATACAGTTGTTTCTTATGCAGTTTGTGTGGGGCTTTGCTGCCGGGAAAATTATAAGAAAACGTTTCAAAAACACATAAATAACACAAAGCGGCAGCGAAACAGATTACCCTTGGATCTTAGCTTTTTTTGGGGTAGATGTTAAGCTTTAAAGCAGATCGCTCCATTGAAGGAGGTTTACCTCGAGGGCCCAAAAGAACTTGTTCTACACATTTATTGGTGGCTGAAAGGTAAAAATGATGGGTTTTGAGTAGGGGAGGGCCCGGCATTCCTCGAACTGCTGAGTGTGTGGGTAGATTGCAACCAGAGCAACTTGGTCTTCGAGCCGTGAAAAAGAGGAAAAGCTGCTTTGCGCTGAGAATTTCACCCCAGGTAGCCCAGCATAATCTATAAAATTGTGAACTTTCATTATAAACCCTGGGTTGTGAAATTCCATAGCAAGAAGGGCCAACACTATTAGTAGCTATAGAAGCCACTAGGTTGGAGGCCATCACTAGCAGGTTGGAGGCCATTATATTTTGAGCATTGTTCGCAGCACGTTGTGGCCGTTCCAGCTGATTCTCAGCCCTGGAAAGAGGTGCCTCGCCGCAGCAAGCAAAGGGCCAGGCCACCGGCCAGCCAGGTCCTGGAAGCTGTAGGCCAGTCCAGAAATGGTCCACAAATCCACAGTTCATCTACCAGAAGCCAAATATGCATTGAACAACTAGACACTAGACACAGGCTTGGCTGGATTTGTACATGTATATACCTGGAAAGCCATAAAACAGTTGTTTTTTTGTAAAACGCCCTTGACCATGTGTTTTTTTGCAACTACGGCTGTGATTATCTGGAGCCACTCGTGGGAGAGTTGCTACGTTTTTTAGTTATTTAATCTTTCTCAACATGTTGTTGAACAAATACGGTTTTGCCTGCCATCTTTCCAAACCCGAAGCTGTTCCTCTGTCTCTGTTTCTCTCTCTCTCTCTCTGCAAAATCTGGCTCTACATTCAGTGCATGCGCATCTTCCATGTTTGAGGCGCACAGATTCTCCCCCATGGTGCTTGGACTGTCCTCAGCCTGTGGTTCAAGCTTCGCATGTAACGCACATGGCAAGTCGCGATAGGGTGACACAAGCACAGCGGGGATGCTCATTTGGTCTGTGAGTTTACCTGACCCAGCTCCATTTCCCCAAACCTCTGCAGGTCGTTCGGAGTTCTGTACGGTGAGTCAGTCAAATCGTCTCGGATTCTCAGGCTGCTTGATTAACTGGAGAACCCGTCGACTTGTCATGAGTCAATCCAAAGGCTAAGGGCATTGCTGACCTGCCCGAATTTGAGTTTGCCATAACGCCTTCTGTGCTTGGTCCGGTACGCCAACAGTGCTGCCTCCGGGTGCGGCCGGTACAGCGGACCCTGACACTCCCGGACTCCCGGTATTCAATACCTCCCGCTTCGGCCATCGGCAAAAATAGTGAAGGCCACATGCAGCCCGCCACATCACTAGCAGTTAGCATCAAAAGTCACCCACACCACCCACCACCCACATGTCTTGAGCCCAAAAACGAAACATGAAGCATTCATGGTGTACACTCAGCAACTGGAAAACTTCCTGTTTGGTCGCCATCCACAGGCCATGCCATCCACTTCCATTCCATTCTGAGTTTTTGTTGGACTCCATAGGAATCGAAATCGATCGCCTTCCCTTCCTCGAAAACACCGAAGACGCGATTTTCGAAAATCTCCGGCAGATGCCACAGTAGGCTGAAAAGCGGTGGTGACCATCAGACCGGACAGTCCTGGCACTCTGATACAAGTAACTAAGTAAGTGCCATATCTAATTAGCCAACCTCCTTCTTGCCCAAGAGGAGAAGTTCTAGTTCCTGTACCATGCACAAAGGTTCTTAAATAGAATCACCTCCCCGGCAAATAAAGAGAAGGGAGAAGGGGTATGAACAGGTTGATGTTGTATTTTTAATATGCTATATATTGTCATAAAAAATATATATATAATTGTATTTACGTGCAGTCACTACATTGCACATTGCATTTCTGTTTGTGGAGGACACCTGGTGGTCAAAAATGTCCAAACAAGTTATAGAACTCACTACCGGCCCAGAAAAAGAATCCCTGGCTTCCTAGTGGCAGCTGGGCTAAACAACCGTCAACCCATGCTGCAGCTCTTTATGTTTAACTATGTCTGAGTCTATGTTTCATGTGGTGCATCTTTAGAGGAACTGGCAGCCTGGCAATAAGAGAACAACAACTACTGCCAAACCAAAAAAAGCGTGCTTGGCCCGCATCAAATGGTTGCCACCTGCTCTTCAGTCGCCATCTTTGCCACAAAGACCGGGAGAACTTGAGGGCTCACTGCGTCAACAGTGCACTGATCACGAGTGCTTTATGCCTTGCTGCGGTGATGGGGCTCCGCCAAGCACCAGTGATGTCCAATAGCACCAACCCCTCCATCAACCATGCCAACACATGGAACAGTCAGAATCACGCATTCGAGCCAACTCAAGAATCTTAGGCTCGCTCTGCTTCGAATCGCCTCGAAAAACCAACAACTCGGCTGCAAAACTTCACTCCCTGGAATCATCATGCTTCCGTGGATGGCCTCGCCCCTTGGCCCCTGGATAACCATGTTCCGCCCCTAAACAGGTGGTGTGGCTTTCCACTTACATTGTGATTCCGGGAGGTGTAGAACCCTGCAAAAGAAAACGCGATACCGAGTCATATGCATACTCGCCCAACAATGGCACCGAATCGTGGCACTAAATCAGGACCCAACTGGAGGATTCAATAGTCATAACGGTTGATTCACGCCACTTGGGGAAAAGGCCCACTTTGCCAGCTTGTGCCAGCCAAGTCCCACAAACCTTTATATACATACCAGGCTTCATACCAGGACTCTACCATGGCTTGGCGGACGAAGTCACACAACAAAAAAAGGCCCCGAGCTAAAGCATGCATAGGTCTTTGCCTTACTGTGCCCTTGTTATATACATAGATTTAGACATAAGGGGGCCAATTCTACGTGGATGCTGGATGCCACAGGTGGGCTGATATCTCTGATCCCTTGCAGACTTGGCATTGGCACTGCTATAGCAGCAAGAGCCTTCAAGATATATCCAAACGCTCCCGAAAGACATCATAGTGGCCAGGATGATCCTCGTCAAACTGCTTTTCTTTCAAGCAAACCAATCCCAAAATAAAGATCCCAACAACTGCAACTTGCCAACAACAAACCAATTACAATCCAACCATGAGGTGTGTGTGTGTGTGTCTGAGTCTGGTCAAGAGGGAACGTGACAGTAGGTGACAGCGACGTTTCATGACCATCCATGGGCGCCACATCTAGTGACTTACTGATTCTCTGCCCTTTCTTGGGAAACTTGGGCATTGCCCGCGAGCCTGCTGTAGGCCGAACGGGCGAAGGCCCGATGAAACGACGCGTGATGGCCAAGCACAAGCGCTGAGTGACCAGGCACCAAGAACTCCGTACAGCCAAGCCTGTAATTCTAATTTTCTTTATTTATTGTTTCTAATAGCTTCTTGTTCCTAGAAGTACAGCCAGGAGCCCCTAGTAGCGTCCTTGCTCCTAGTAGCGATGCCCTTTGCTACTAGTAACTAGTAGCGTCCTTGCGTCCATGTTCCTTGCGGTCCCTTGGATGAGTGGGTCCAAAGACGAATCAACCAATGACCGCAAATGAAGGACAGGAACCAAAGCCGAACCTCGCGTGCCTGTGGCCACGTGCGCACTGACCATCCCTGCTATTGCCAAGTTAGCTGGTCCGATGTCGACATACATACCAACAACACCGCTCTCTCGCCTCGTTGGTGTTGCGAGAGCAAGTGGTGCTCCTCGCTCATTGATCAATGATGGACGATCCAAGCGTGCCCCACGGATTTGCTCTGCCACATGGCTTCAGGGCATCGTCAATTACATGTGAGTTAGCGGCCTAATCAGGTCTCTTTGGCATGCTGCACTGCAAAGGCCGGAAAGGATTCGGATTTTCAAAAAAGTATTGGGACCAACCAATGTGCACCGATGCCGCCAAAGCCATGTACCCAGACGTCACTGTGCTAGTCCAATTCGCCAGGAATTGGCTAGATCCGGGAGGTTCCTGAACATTGTGAACTAAATTTTTTGGACAATGTCGGACTTTCTTTAAGCCAAACAAACGTGTTAGTGTTAGTCTTAGGAACAAACATTATCTACATTGAGCTTGGTCTACGTGCCAGTCTTAACGATTTAACATGCATCCAAAGGAGTATTTGGCATCATGATAATGAGCACCACAACTTGGAAGGAAGGAAGCAAAACAACCACCAAACCCTTGATTATGGAATCCGCAAGCAAACACCGATTATATAGCTGTTTTATGAACCATCCTGCTCAAGAACTATAACCAACCAGCACCTTCATGTCAATTTCTTCAGCCTGTGTGTTAGTCCACACCTGGTGGCACGGCAGTTCCATCAAATCCATCTTTCGCGTCAGTCACTGCACATCTCGAGAAGCGAATCACTTCGCTTCCATCATGTTCACTCGCGTTCCCATCTTCGATTCGGGACCTCCCCGGATCGCTGAAGTCGCCTTCGTTGGGTCTAATCGACCCGAATGGGCGCGCCTTCGTGGGTCCGTCCAGCGAAGATTGCCAAGCTGCTCCGGCCGGCGGATCCCATTCGATTCCCACGGTCTTTTCGGCAAAACATGTGACGGTTCTTGAATCATGTCTTTTCTGAAGTCTTTATGCGTGGTGTAGCCTTTTCAAAGTTAGGATGCCCAGTATGGTTTGAAAATCCTTTGGCGGGTATCACTTGACAGAGTTTTGCAGGGTGTGCATTCATTTTGGCACGTTCCACGGAAGACTCAAATCAGTCTTGGATGACACGCTCTTGCACAAAGTAAATTAAATGAGGGATAATGACACAACTCATGGAGTTGATCATCGTTGATGTGCACAAAACATACAAAAACAAGACACTCAACAACACCAAACACGGCTCAACACACCGTTCTTAAGTCACGTTGGTGCGATGTTCATCCTCCTCAACACATGGTCAGTGCCGGACACCCCGAGGAGCCTAGCAGGGCCTACCATCCGTCATGAACAGGGCCCTCCATGTCTGCTGACTGCAAATCCAACTCAGAGTGGAACACATGTCAAATTCTCATAGTCACCGTTTCAAAATCCTGGCATGCCCGACGGAAACATGGAAATACAACAGTGCCCAAGAAGGGAAACCTGCAGCAGAAACAGCCCAAAGCAAATGCAGCACCTACAAACAGGAACTTTCATGTGTGTGCGTGGGAAGCCGGGTCCCAATCTCCCACGCCGTGGCCGTTCGGAGCAATTCTTGCTATTCTTCGAAGCTATGTGATTTCTACATATTATGTTATTATTTCTGTGAGGACCAGCGTCCACTGCCTTCAAACATGGGCTGTAGAGTGGCTGCCATACAGTTGGTACAAAAGTTCCAGGCGCATGCGTCGGGCTCATTCGCGCTTGCTGTGGGTGCTAAAAATCGATTTACCAGAACACCAATTCGTCCCATATGCCCCTGTACATGTGAGGTGGCCATGGATCCAACATACGGATCCCGGTCCGTGAGGTTTCATCTGTTCCTTCGATACAAATCTTGCACAGCCGCCAGTGCGCACTTGGGGCCTGAGGCCGTGCAGAAGCACAATGAGCTCAGCGTTCCATGCGTTGGGCTTGTGCCATCACTGCAAGGAAGTACCACAGGAAGCTGATCGGTGTGACGGTAAGGTGTGCATACGTACAATCCTGAGTACCTTTAAGAAAACACTATCGGATTATAAATTATACAACAGGTTTTTACATTACCGCCTTCTTAACCTACTGAAACATGGGTAATTCAAAATTTGGTTGTTGTTTATTTGTTTTTATGTCTTTTTTACATTAGGTACCCACCCACTCGAATCGCAACCAATCGCGTCCCTCACTAGCGACACACCGCATTCACACACGCATGTGCACTCTTCCCCAATGGCACACAGCCATGCAAACGCATGTTCCACTGAGGCCGCGCAAAACCACACCGCATCGCACAGCGACAACCTTTAGTTGGTCTGATGACAAGGTTACAGGCCAAGAATATCGGTCTGAATCCCTATTTTAGTTAAA